CACTTTGTGCGCTGTTTATGTTCAATTTTTAAACACGCGATGCTTTCACATGTTCTTTGCATTATTTTGCACTCTTCCACAAGAAACAACGTTGCAGATTGAAACTGGACGACAGCGTGACCCGAAAGAAAGCTGGAGGGAGGAGACGCACAGAAGCTTTTACCCACACACACAGGGGCTTTTACACAGAGAAGTCTTTACAAAGGAGCTTTTTACATACAGAAGGTTTTACACAGAGAAGTCTTTACTCTAAGGTGCTTTTGCAGACCAACGTCTAGGAGCTTTTACTCACAGAAGTTTTTACACGAAGAAGTCTTTACACAGAGGACTTTTTACACACAGACGCGTTTGCACACAGAAGCTTTTACACAGAGAAGCCTTTACACAGAGGAGCGTTTACACACCAAAGCGTTTACACACAGCAAGCTTTTACACACGCAGGGGCTTTTACACAGAGAAGCCTTTACACAGAGTAGCTTTTTACACACAGAAGGTTTTCCACAGAGAAGTCTTTCCTCTGCGGAGCTTTTTCACACAAACGTCTTGGAGCTTTTACACACAAAAGCTGTTACACAAAGGAGTCTTTACACAGAGAGCTTTACACACAGAAACTTTTACACAGAGAAGCCTTTACACAGAGAGTGTTTACACACGGAAGCTTTTACACACAGAGAAATCTTTACACAGACGGGCTTTCACACAAAGAAGCTTTCACACAAAGAAGTCTTTACACAGAGAATCTTACTTTTACACACAAAAGCTTTTACACAGAGAAGTCTTTGCACAGAGGCGCCTTTACACGAAGTAACAAGTTGAAATCGGCAGCAGTTCTTTAGGAAAAACCCTTCGCAGGAGCTTTCGGGAACTCACTTGCTCCCCAAAAAACGTCTATTCCAACAAATATGTTCCAAAAAACCTAAGGAATATACTTATTTCTGAAGCAGGTCCTCATTCAGTAACTTTCACGCCCTCACTGCGATGAAATGGAGGGCCGAGTGGTCCGGCGGAGCCGACGAGGGGCGTCAGCCCAAAAATATAATATATGTGTATGCACACACATGCAATATATATATATATATATATACACCCTTTGGTTATTTAACATAGCCATGGAAAATCACCACTTTAATAGGTAAACCATCTATTTCTATGGGCCATCATTTTCCATGGCGAACTGTTAGTCATAACCAGAGGGTACAATTTCCCGCTACCAGAGGGTACAACAAAAACATCCCATGAGATCCCTTGATTTCGCCTGGCACGGGGGCCCAGAGTCAGAGCAGCCTGGCAGGGAATGTGATCCCATCCCATCCTCCCTGGCATTTTTTTCAGATACCCTAAATGGTCCCTTTATATGTCCCAATTATGTGAACAAAAACCCTACGAAACACCATGGTTTCTGGGGGAGTGTTTAGTATTGGGATGGGATTACTGAGAATTCTGGAAGAAACCAACCAGGAAGAGTCATTTCTGAACAATGGTGCTGTTGATCAATTGATCATTGCAAGCGTATCTTCCAAATGCTTCCTGTGGAAGAGGAATTAACGATGTGTCGCCTCATCAATCGCAAATTGTACTACACCACCACAACACCCAGAACTACCTAGACCCTCATTGAAAAACCTAGTGATAATTCGATATCCCGCAATATACCCATGATTTTTAGGATCTTTAACCATTTTCATAACGGGCGCTTGGAGGGTCTAAATCAGGTGAACTTCCCCAGTTGGTTTATAAAGCCATTCGAGTTATATCCCCCAGACGCCCAAGCCGCTGGAGCCTGAGCTTCTTGGAATCTGGCCTTCAACTCCTTGGGGTCCCAAGGCCAAATCATCCAGTCGTCATGGATGACTTGGGATCCATGACTTAAGAACCCCAAATCATCTCATAACGGGTCACCTTCCATAGCATTCCATAGCGACTCCTTTTATTACCATTTGGGGGAGAGCAATTTTAGTCATTTTTACGCAAATTCGTGATGATCAACATTGATGAACCAATATCAAACGTGGTTCCCAGTAATCCCACCCAGTAATCCCACCCACAAAAAAATATTAGGCATCCCCTAAATAATCCCAATCATTTATGGAATTTCAAGTAATATTTAATAATAATCCCACTCTAAGAATCCCTAGTTCTACCCTCTGGTAAACTAACATACCTATGGAAAATCACCATTTTTAATGAGAAAATCCACTATAACTGGCCATTTTCAATAGCTATGTTAAATTACCAGAGGGTAAGTAATTTATGGAATTTCAATACATAAAACAGCAGGCTTTCGGCTTTTTTGGGCATGGGGGTCTTCCGATCGCCTCCCAGCGGGTATCGCCACCAAGTGACATCACTCAACATGTTGGATGGCATCAAGCCATCCTGCGGCAACGGGGTGCCAGGTGATGGCAGGTGATGTAACCTATGGGTACCTATGGGTACCTATGGTCTATGGATGTTTTTGGATGTTTCTGGTAGAGATATGGAGAGATATCCAAAGTTCACAGGCTTTAGAAAAACCAAATCATAATGGGCACTAGCTTGTGGATGTTGAGCAATGCAATGCCCTCAATGCCCCTCAGCTGTTTTGGAGGCGGCCAACCTTGTGACTTCGGGGGAATTCTAGTTGGTGAGTGAACTAAACATTGGCCAACTCCATTCCAAATAGGGGGATAGACCAAAGCCTAAGTTCCCATTCAGTGGGCTTCTTCCATTCACGGCTTTTAAGTATAACTCTATATATATATATATATATATATGGTTACTGATTAAGCAGTACTATATATATGGTTAAGTTATAATGAACTATACATGGTTGCTATTGGTTATTACCCTCTGGTAAACTAACATAGACCTTGGTAGTTGTCGGGCTTGGAAGACTAGTTTCCATTTTTTTAATGGGTGATTTTCAGGGTCAACAAGTTAATTGTGACTAGTTTCCATTAAAAATGGGTGATTTTTTCAGGGTCTATGTTAATTTACCAGGGGGTAACATTTACTAACCACATCTAACCTGGATCTGGGATGATCTCATCCCCTGGCCTGGAAGCCCACCCGCCATGCAGGCCACGAAATCAGCGAATTCGCTAAGTTGCCTGGCAGCGTTAACGCACCAAGGACAGGCAACGGGCGTCAAAAGATACGCTGCTGGAGTCTGGTGACGTTGGAAAATGGCAGACATAGGCTGAAAATGGTCCATTTATGATATGAATGGATGATGTATGATGATCTACATTGATTTCTAGCTGTTAAAAAACACATGGCATGTTCCATATCATAGCTATGTTAGATTCCCAAAGCGCATTCAAAAATAGTATTGGAACATCATTTCTTCGATCCCATTCCGACAAATTGGACCCCGGGAAGGCATTAAAATATAAACCATCCATGACTGGGAATGGTTTCTATATACCACCCATTTCTACATGGTGATGACTTGGGGATGGTGCAACAGTGTTTTAACCGCCTGCCAGCTGGGTTTCATCCGAGACGGGAACATCCGACCTCCCAGGAGCAAACTGATCACAACCCCCAGGTCCAACGCTCCAACCTGCTTCTTTGGGCTCTAAAACCACCTGAGCTGCTTGGGAACGAGGTTCCTAATGGTTCCTAATGGTTCCTACAAAGTGGTGCCCCATAGTTAGCTAAGTTGGTTTATAACTCCAATAACTATGGTTTATGGCAGATATAACTATAGTTAATGGGGTTTATAAACCAACTTATAACTGGGGGGCACATGGGGGCACCACATTGTAATGGTCAGAATCAGATGTGAAGATGAGAAGATGTGAAGATGAGAGACAGACCCCCACTATTGGAAGAACCCTGCGCTCAGACGCTCTCGGGAACAAACATCCAAAAATTGGATGTGCTGTGCTGAAGCCAATGTCATAATCCCCCAGTCATCACCATTTTCTGTGTGGATGGGATTCCAACCAACCAGTCATGGGAGTTGTTTTCTGGGAGAGCTTCCGAAATCCAAGAGTGCGCCATGAACTCTGAGAATTTTCACCCGATGGGTAACATGGCTGGCCTGAAAAACACCACTTTCAATAGGAAACATGCGATAATTGTGGAACTAAATAGCTCATTCTCAGAATAGGAACATATTGGTATTGGATGGGTAACGTTTATTCCAGCAAGCCATCTTTAATTACTGGTGGGTGCTCAGAATCATCCTGCTATCTTTCATTGACCATGGGGTATCCTAATCCACTGGTTAATCATAATAATCTTCTCTAAAAAATTGCACCTCAGGTGGTATACCCAACCCAAATGCTCAATGTATGGAATATTGACTAACATTTTCCCCAACAATGACCCAAATGTTGGTACATACACCACACATGGAGCACATAAGAATAAAATAGATAGATAGATAGATAGATAGATAGATAAATAGATATAGATAGATAGATAGATAAATAGATAGATAGATAGATAGATAGATACCACGAGTGTCTACATATATATATATACATATATATATTATACAAACAATGCGTATATTATACATTTCAATTATATTCATCAATTATATTATGTAAGAAAATTAGCACAAAGACAGCCTACATATATGTATCATGTATCCCTATGATATTTGTGCAACCATTATTTGAATCCCAGTATTGTCAACCCCAGATTATCTAAACCATAATTTATTAGGGGGGCTACTCCTCCAATAGTCATTATCTGTTACTTTTTATGGTACCCTTCTAATTAAACAACCGTTTGGGGATTATTAATCAATGATAGCAAATATAAATGGGAATACCCCGTGATGGTTATTAACACTTAGGGACTATAATACATTATAAATTATAAATGGTTAATCATCGTTCTAATAACACATTATACTCTCTGGTTATTTAACATAGCCATGGTATAGATGGCCCATAGTTATAGATGGTGTACCTATTAACAATGGGTGGATTTTCCATGGCTATGTTAGTCATAACCAGATGGATCCAGATGGTAACAATTCCCATTCACGGGGTATTCCCGTTCTAATTCCACCACGGCCCTGCGATCATCTGCGATCCAAAGTTCCACGGCTGCTTTGTTCCCCGCTGGTTCACCAGCGCCTGGATTCGACGAAACGCAACGAGACGTAGATTCTACGACGTCTGCCCCGGTGATCTCTGGTGATTTTTTACCATGTTTCTATGGTATAGAGATATGTATATATATATATATAGATGGCCCTAATAGAAATAGATGATTGATGACCATTTGCCTATTAATGGTTAGTAGTTATTAGCCAGCATACTTGATAGCAGCCCCTGGTTGTGTCACAATTTGCTATTGTATAGGCCCATAGAAATAGATGATCAACATGTTGATGATGTACCGTTCTTTGAAACTGGTGGATGTCCATAACTATATAAAATAACCGGAGGGTATATCCATGATGATGTATATACATGAAATGTTGCTAGGATTGACGATATGTTGAATCTGGCGAAATCCCCTTCTCCAAACGCCCGCTGAGGGAGTACGTGGGAGCTACAGCCATGATCCGGCAGGTGTCATCATACAAGAAGCCTTGGGTCGCTTTCGCACAAAATACTTTAAAACGACCAAACATATCTAATCACCCTTATGACCCTTATCCAATTCAAATCAAAATCCGTCGAATATGAAATTGGCAACATGGCACATCGCATAAATCTGCTACGCGAAGAACTTCTTTCAGGCGTTTGACCCTGCGACGACCAGACGGTCCTAGCAGGTCCTAGCATGTTTGTCCGGATTCGCTTCCATTTTTTGATAACAAACATACATACCAAGATCCAAGCAAAATCATTGATTTTCTTCCAATCCTGAACGTCATGAATTGCATGGCTAGCTACAATTAACATGTTGAGGTCACCCGATATGAAGTAAACATCATCCAACTAACTTATAATTATAGGCTAGGCACAAACACCCAAAAACACACCATTCCTCTGGCAATCAAAAACATGGCAATGGACAGTATAGATGATTTTCCCATTAACACCATTTAAAACCCATGCTTGGTCTGGGAAATTATAATAATTCACTAGCCTGAACCTTGCGGCCATTTTGGGATGATTCCCCAAAAATTGCGCATTATTACAGGCTTCGGTTGCAGTGAGGTCATTATAATTTACCCAGACACTGATAGTTCAATGATTTTCCATTGTATAATAACATCAATTAATCAAATAGATGAATTTCCCATTCAAACATTCAAAGGTTGGTGGTTTCAACCCTGAAAAACATGAAAGTCAGTTGGGATTATGACATTCCCAACTGAATGGAAAAAATGAATTCATGTTCCAAACCACCAGCCAGATGTTAAAACCCATGATGGTGTCAACTCTATATCCCCAAATCATCTCCAGATGATTGGCCCGCCTTTAGGGTAGTTGCTCGCAGAGAAGATTGTCGCAGCAATCATGTGCCTGGCAGCTCGATGTTTATACCATGGAAAAATGACTGTTTCTGCCATAAACATGGAAGTTAAAATAAGTTCAATACATATTTCTATATACTTCTTAAATCTTCTTAGCATTTTTTGAATCACTTTACCGGTTTCCGGAACCAAATCAAGCAAAGGGGAGTTCATCACCGAACAAACCGGATTTCATGACCTAGCACCAGAGTCAATGGATTGCTTTTCGAGGGAAATTCTACGCGGAAACATGGTGCTTAATTACACAACATACTTTTATCATTAGGGCTGAAACCTGTACCCTCTGGTAATTTAACATAGCTATGGAAAATCACCATGCTATTAATGGGAAAATCCACGAACTAAATAGCCATTTTCCATAGCTATTTTGACATAACCAGAGGGTACATTTACCTTCAGCCAATTCGAATGGAGGAATTGGCCGACTTGCCGACTTACCAAACACATCACCGGAAACTGCGCCGGATCCACCCTTTGGAGTTGGCATGTTCCACCGAAAAGCCTGGCACGGCTGCGCGGAAAGAGATAGCTCACTAGGATCCTGATGAATCACATTGTTTTTAGGCAAATGAACCATAAATAATAGGATATTCATTGGATATTAGGTTGGGATGTCATGCTTTACATAAACAAATTCAATATCCAATTAATATCACCAAGTCCATTTACACCTTGTTTATTCCAGGCATTTAATTACTGTACATGGTTTTTTTCACGTTTTTCCACTATACCCCTTCCGTAAAGCCAAACCCCAGAATTTCGAGCACGGCACCCTCTTGACGCTTCTCATGAGACCGCAATAAGACCTTCAGCTTGTTCACTTTCAGGAACTCCTGGCCCGTTGAGCCCAAAATGCTGCTAGTCACGGTGGCTGAGGTAGCCGATAAAAATGAAAGTCGGTTGGGATCATCATCCCAAATGGGGTGAAACACACCCACACATAATATATATATATATATATATATCACATAATATATAATATATAATCATTATATATATATAATCATATAATCAAATATATATATAATCATATAATCAAATATATATATATATAATCATATACATAATATGTATGCATATGTATGTACATATGTGTGGATGGGCTCCTGTAGCATTTGTATGTATGCATGAATGCATGTATGCATGTATGTGTATCATATTACAAGAAGAACACAGCAACCACAATAGCTCAAGGGACCAAATCCTTGGCTTTGATGTCCATCACATATCACTATTTTCACTGTGGATACAAGCAGTTGGAAAACCTGCAACATCTTCCCACAAATGGACTTGGGACTTAGGTTTTGATTCTTTTGATGTCCAGATTTTATTTATCTCACCTTCGGGCTCAAATGCTTCAACAAAACATAGCCAAAAACAAACAACACACATTCGATGCGCAATCCTTGAACCTTATCGGCCATCAACTCGGAATGTCCAACAGCTTCCGCTAGGTGAGTTTCACAGGGGTTTCCATGGGGATACCCCAAGCAGCTGAATGGTTTATAACGGAAAATCCTTTAAACAAATGGATGATAACTAGGGGTCCCCCTATTTTAGGAACCCTCATATATAATCATATATACACAGCAATGGATATGAAAAATCTCGGACCTCGAGGTTCACGAAAAGGACATCAACAAATCGTGGAAGTTCGCATCGATTACCGCACATTTGCACAGAAATGATGTACGGCAAATTTCGGGGGGCATGTGGCATGGCTTGAAGGAAAATGATGTAGGTGCACAAGCATAATAACACCTTCCAAGGGGCATCGCTATTTGGGAACAAGGGAGCGGTGTATGGCATTGGGTTTACCACATCCAAATAGCAGCATCTACTTCGGTCATGTAGGGTACCCCGCGGTAGTTTAACATAGCTATGGAACATCTCTATTTTTAGATGATTCACCATGATTTCCCATGATTTACCTATTACAAATGACACTTATCCATTAGCAAACTGTTAAATCACCAAAGGGTTACCCTCTGGTAATTTAACATGGCTATTGAAAATCACAATTTGAATAAACCATCTATTTCGATTAGGGCCATTTTCCATATATATATATGTTAGTTTACCAGAGGCTATTCCATGTAGGCTACCCCCAAAACATCCCAGCGATTTTTCGGCGTCGCACCTGGGTCACCTTGCTATCGAAGAAGGCCCCTGCACCACGCTTGCTGGGGCCGCGCATGTTGGGCTTGGCCACCGGATCCTGGACCAGGTCGACAGGTCGACAGGTCGACATCTGACATCTTGGGGGCTAAAAATAAAAGGGACATGGTTGAAAACCCATGATTTAATGGTGCAAAAAGCCCATGATTTTTCTGCTTTTGATGGTTGACATCCTTTTTTAATCATGATGTTTGTTGGGCTTTTGATGGTTGAAATCCTATAAATCATGATTTTTGTTGGGCTTTTGATGGTTGAAATATGTTGAAATCCTATAAATCATGATTTTTGTTGGGCTTTTGATGGTGAAAATATGTTGAAATCCTATAAATCATGATTTTTGTTGGGCTTTTGATGGTTGAAATCAATTTCTAATCATGGGATAAACCCACCTATCAACCATGGAAAAGCACCTTATTTTTCATGGGTAAATCCACTCTGTTTACCAGAGAGTACTGGGCTTTAATGGGACATATGATCAGCACTCTGATTTTGGGTTTATGGGATGTTTTTGGGTGGCATTTGTTTCGGGGGATTTATATGGATCTAATGGGAGATATGTTTTTTGGGGTTTATGTTTATCTGAAAATGGTATTTAATGGGATTTAATGGACTTAAGAGATGGGACATGGATAATCAACACTCTGATTTTCAATGGGACATACTGTGGGAGGACCCGGATCATTTTGAAACACCGGATAAGGCTCATTTTGAAACACAGAGGATAAGGATCATTTCGAAACACAAAAGCCCCGGATAAGGA